CAGTGTATCCAGTGGCTTCATGCTCTGCTGTTCTATAGGCCATCAACAGTGGAGGGAGTAAGGCATCCCAGTCATCTTGGTGGTTTTTCAAAACTTTGCCAATTCCTGTCCCAGTGTCCAATTGTACTTTTCTACCATCCCATCAGACTGTGGGTGAAGTGGTGTTGTCCTGGTCTTTCGTATGCCAAACAACTTGCAGCATTCATGGAACACAGCTGATTCATAGTTATGGCCTTGATCCGAATGCAGTTCGTATGGCATATCAAACCTGAAGAAGAAATCACTAATAGATAAAGCTACAGTTGTAGCTTCCTGATTTGATATTGCATATGCCTCAGGCCACTTCGTGAAATAATCCATCACCACACAAATGTACTTGTTTCCAGCACGAGTTTGAGGCAAGGACCAGCAATGTCCCGCACCATTCTTCCACATCTTGCCTCATACCTATCCTGGTAAAATCTCTGTCATAGGTGACTCAATGTCTTGTTAACTATTTTAACTCCTGTTAAACTATCATGGGATTGACGCAGCACAACTTCCCATAACTTTCTCGGTATAACTGTTTGCCAGGTCGTCACTTTCCCATCTGCAGTTTCCCATCTCCGGAGAAGAGTACCATCTTCACGTTTCAACTGGTCCCATTGTGCCCAATAGTTCTTTGTTACAGGGCTTAAGTTAGACACCTTCTCCCAAGCAGGGCACAAAACACTTGCTTTTAGAAAATCAACTATTGGCTTCAAATCTTGATCTTTCTCCTGCTCTGATTTAATATTTATACCCGGTTCCACTTTTATAGAGGTCAGTTAAATGTTCTGGGAGAGGATGTTCTTTCTTTATGGTCGTATTTCTTGTCTTAATATTGACTGGCTGTGCCTCCTGGCACATACCCAACAATGCCCTTTCCTTAAGTGTCTGCTCACATTTAGAGAAATTGGCCACTGTTATGGGTACTACTTGATGACCTGCCACAGTGACCTTCGAATATTTACATCCGCTGTCCTGGATGGGTCTTCCACTTCTTCCACAAGCATCGGGCTTCCTTGGGGATGTTCTTTTATTCTACCCCAAATTACCTTCTCTAACATAGGGGTATTGTAGTTGACTTAAGTGCTGTGATATGCAAATCAACAGATGCAGCAACACTTATTGGAATTTGGCCTTTGTTGTTCCCAATCATAATTTTATCATAGTTAACTACACACTTCCTCGGTAGTAAGTAGTCCAATCCTAATATGTATTGGTTTTCAACGTCAGGCAAGTATACTTTGTGTCTGTCCTTCATGCCCATGAACTCTATAGTTACCCACACTGGTCCCCACAACCTTGCATAATGTCCTGTCACACCACAAAGCTTCTGTGTGGCTTCTGGTACTCCTTTGCGATCTAGCTTCTTGATACTCACAAGGGTTTGCTGAGATGCAGAATATATGACAAATTTGCACCTTTGGCCATCCAGCTTTCCTGTCACGTAGACACCATGTGTGCTTGGCATTTTACACCTGGCTGTTGGAACTTTCACAATGAGGGTTGGTGGGCGTCCCTCAGCACCAACCACTACTGGCTTCCCGAAGCTGACTTATTGGTAGTATTCTTCTTACACTGGCTCCTCATATGTCCTTGTTCTCCACAGTTCCAACAACCTTTCTGGGTAGCAGCCTTTCCTGCCATGGCATCTTCCCTGTGTTGAAGTTTCCAGCATTGAGCTTTCTTGTACCCAGGTTTGTTACAGTGCCATCAAAGTCCCTCAACCTTCTCTGAAAGCTGCCCTTTTCAGGCCTTGAATCCTGATGACTGTACCAACCTTGGTATCTCTGTGCTGGACTTAACATAGGATTCAAATTCGAGAGCTCTGGCCATTGCATCCTGCATAGTAGAGGGGTGTGCTTGCTTTACTTCTTTCTTCAGTTGTGGACTGTCCAAGGCATCTACAAACTGATCCCTCAGCAACAACTTGAGGAGATCGGGTGGTGCAGTTGGGTAGGCTTTGTGTGCCATACGTTCCAAATCCTATGCCAGCTCTTGCAGGCTCTCCCCTTTAGCACGGATTCTCGTCCTGAACCTGGCCCTGTAGACTTCCGACTAGTTTTGGGTTCCATACCTGAGCTCTAGAGCAGCTACCAGTGCTCTGTAGTTGTGCCTGTCATCTGCTGACAACTGTCCAAGTATTTACAGTGGTTGTCCCTTCAGGCTCGTTGCCAGGTACATTGCTTTCTGCTCCTCTGTCCATCCATTCATTTCTGCCAGGAGCTCAAATTGTGCTCTATATACTTCCCATGGTGCCTTCCCATCAAATTCCTGTGGATTCCTTTGTACTAGATCACTCCTATTGCTGACACTCATGTCTGGGATGTGACTTCTGACAGGACTGAAGATGTCTGCATTAGGGTTTAGCTGCAGGGTCTGGAAGGAGCTTCCCGTTGTCTGGGGCTGATTAGGTCGATGGCTAATATATCCTCGTTGTGTAAAAGACAGTAAATCATCCTTTAATGCATTTATTTCACTTTGAAATTTACAAATGTTTACCATTTGTACTTCTTGCCACTGTTGTTGACTTTCCTGTAACTGTTGGAGACTTTCTTCCTGTTTCTTTTCTTTTTCCAGTTGCCACTGCTGTAATCTCTTATCTTGTTTATTTTCTTTCTCCTCCAACCACTGCTGTAGTCTCTCTTGTTTATTTTGCTGTTCGAGCTGCCACTGTTGCAGGTTATCTTGCAACTGCTGTTGTTTCTCTTCTTGTTTTTTTTCTCGTTCTTCTTGTTTATTTTCTTTTTCCTCCAACAACTGCTGTAATCTCTCTTCTTGTTTCTTTTCTAGTTCTTCTTGTTTCTTTTCTTTTTCCTCCAACAACTGCTGTAATCTCTCTTCTTGTTTCTTTTCTCGTTCTTCTTTTTTCTTTTTCCTCGAACAACTGCTGCAATCTCTCTTCTTGTTTCTTTTGTTGTTCTTCTTATTTCTTTTGCTCTTCTTTATTGCCGCCATCAAGTTTGCTAAGGTGTAGTTTGATTTGCCACCTCTGGTTTCCATCTTCTTCTTTTTTTTTTTCGTCCCACTCTCTGATAACAGTTTGTTACATCTCTGGTCGTTTGTTAATTTCTCGTATAATTTCTTTCGGATGAAACTTTAGCGATGCAAGTCCTTTCTTAAATAAAACTAGTTTATTCTTTTTCAATACAACTTTGCAATACACTTAATTTCCACAGTCACTTTAAGTTAAACATATGCAATAATTCACAACGATTCACGCACTTTATTTACGACTTGACTCGATTATCTGTTTCTATATCTCCCTGTCTGCTATAATAATCTCTGCTTTATTTGCCGGGCTTATATACAAAAATAGAGGGCGTCTAGCAAATACTAGGATATTCGTGATGTTCCCTGATCCTTCTAGAAACTCATGACGTGTTACTAGTATCATGTGACTTCTGCTGTCGTAACAGTAGGTTGATTAATTCTCGATGTCAGTGTATGTATTCTGAACCCATTTTAGCATAAAGGTAATAACCTATATACTTTTGTTGCTCCTTCACGGCATATAGTCTGTTTATAAAGGTAATCTTCCCTCTGACTTGTCCTCCGATTTTAAACTTAAGTGATATCTACAAATAATAAAAAACAAACCTCTTTGATTAACGGAGCCTCTAAATTAGAAAACAACAAATATGTATATTTAATTTTGTAGTTTATATATTTCATTTTATACCTTTAGTACATTGCCTCTTAACAACAATATTAGATTATACTTTTATTGCTAAGCAACATAATATAAAAGCCATTTGTATTAGTAATATATATTGTTAATATCAATAAGTTTTGTCAGTTTCTCAAAGTTACTATGTGCACGTTAAGTCAACAATACCATAAAATCATTGTTGTTCTCTAGTGACGACATATGATATTAAGTTTGTAACTATTGTTTTTGTTTCGATTCCTCAGTTCTAAGCTGATGGTGACGTTAAACGTCGTTATACTTGTGTTTATTAACATAATGATTATATTTGGTTTATAAAAACTTCATACTATTAGTTTGTCGACTTTAAAGTAAAAACAGACGCAATCGTGGAAAAACTTATAAATGTATTATGGACTATTTCTTTGTTTAGATATTTTTACTGTAACAAAAATAGATACTTTACGTTTGAAACCTGTTGTTTAGGTAGCAGAATTGAGAAAGAGGATGCGGTAAACGTGTACGGGTAATGACCGTGACACGGGTTGTTGTAGGTGTATGAAATCAAGGTAAGTTTTGTATACGTAGGAGGAAAACCAGTTGATAATTATTCACCTCTTTATTTACCGTCTGTGCTTTTGCCCATAAGATGCTTTGTAAGATTTTTGAGTGGCTACTTTGAAACTTAAGATTCTTTCTTCATCGTGTAATATTTACAAATCTATTTAAGTTAAAGTTAAACTATCACTAAAGTAAAGGTTCAACTACGCTCTGTTTAAAATAAAAATATGAACAGTGACTTAAGATTAAGAACAACCTTGGCTATCAGTGCAGTCAAGTCTTTGATAGTGGTTTATGATATTCTCAGTTTACCGTTTTATTTCGTTGCGCAACGTCCGTGGAAAAAATGGTTGAAGACATCGGTTTGGGTAAGTTTAAAGTTGATATCTTGAAAAGTTCTTGTCCCATTTTGATTAAGTGTGACAGTTGTAACTGCAAGTTTAATTAGGTATGAGAGGTTAGCCTAAATGTCGAACTGTTTAACTTATTACTTCAACATAAGATAACATATGTATATATATGTATCTTGATTAGCTGTGATTTTATGATCTCTGATTAGTTCTGAGAGATAGATGATAAAGAAAACATTTTGTACATTTTTCTGTGTGGGAAATACGTTGTAACTGTAAGTTTAGGTTCTGCGTACTTATGATGCTTTTTAGTGTTCCAGCTTTTATCATTATTTATTATAGTCATGGATGAATTATCTATTTTTTAGTAAAAAATCAGAATTTCTATATTTTGAGATTAAATTTAAATATACATAGGGCGTTATAGCTGCTGGAAGTTAGAGATTTAGCTTCTCAGTTGTTATTGTTTCTTAGCGAAGCGTAGTTGTAATAATTTATGTTCTTATTGTATTTTTAAATATTACATTCTCCATTTGATGCTCTAGGGTTTCCCGATAAGAACAGTGTATAGTGGTTATAAAAACAAGTTTTTCTTCACATTCTTCTTACTTTGACCATTGCAGCTCGAAATCACAAGTGTGTAAAAACATAACATATTGTTGCGTCAGCGAGTCACATGACCACGTGACGCAACGTTTCTAGAATTATCAT